GGAATGTCCTACCAATATTGTACATAACTTTGTAAACACTATAGATTACTAAATATTGGTGTGTGATATATGATGATATTCAAAGGCCCGTTGCTACTCCACAAAGCAGCCAAACCAAGCCACCGTGACAATAATGTCTTTAGTCAGGAGTCACAGTTGTTGGCTTCAGCTCGAGTCTTATTCCTGATCTAGCCCACAGCTAGTAGCACCATCCTAATGATATCATCTGCTATGGATATGGCTGCACGTGGATGACAAGGACTTGTCATGAGCTGCACAGCATACTGTACAACAAGATGACGGAACTATTTTAAAGATCCACTCATGCCCTGTACTGTAGGCTCTGGTGTCTGTGGGATGTAAGTAATTCCCAAATCAATGAAAAAATGAGGATTGCATAGACGCTGAGCTCAAATAAGAATTGCAGCAGCTTCACTCAAATATCTTTTGCATCAGTAAGATTTCAATTTCCACTTTGACTTCTTCTCTGGAAATGATTTATCAAAAGTCAACACTACATTAGTTATATGATAATCATTGAATAATCATACCAAATCAAAGTGCCATTTTACTTACAGCACGAGTTAATAGATTTGTAAGATATACTTTATTTTTCACTGTTGACTCCAAAAACAGGTGAAAAAAGAGTTCCCCTCTCTCTCGCTCTCTCTCTTAAGCAGAGATATTGATCATATTGAACAACCGCCAAGCCACTTGTTCGTGTGGTATTTGCCTTTCTTAGTGCTAATCATTGAAACTGAATTGCACTGTTCCAACAAGAATCCAGAGTAGGCCGATTGAAATGAAACAGAGAGATCCTTTAAGCCCATTCAACTATATCTCTGTTTTCTACTAACCCCGCTTCATCTCAGTCCAGACCCCCCTAATCTGCAGCATTAAATTCCCATCTCTTAACATTCAAATATCACAGTATTCTCAGCCTGAAAGATGATATGATACTGTCTTATGAAGGCCATTGGGAAATGGCCAGGGATATGGCTTTGCCTCATTTTACATCTCTTTCTGTGTTTTATTTTTCCATCTTATTCTCTCCATCCTTTCTTCTTGTTTTTACTAGTCCTGGGTCAGTATGTCCCTGACCTAAACAAATAATTGGGAAGCTAAAGGCACACATGGGCCCATGGGATATCTGAGAGTCTTATAAACAGAATCAAATGCCAGCTTGTGTTTGGCCTCCTCACTGCTGTTCAGCAGTCATGACGATTCATTATTCCCTTTCAAACCTACAGAGAGATTTCTTGATCCTAATCCCCTCATGTGGCTAAAAAGTTGAATTACTATTGGATTTGTGTCCATTTAAGATGGCTCTTTCTCATAATAAGCCTTAAGGGAAAAAAGCAATTGGAATTCGTCAAAGCTGTGAGAAGTTGACTCTGGCAGCATAGACTTGTCCTTCCGTACCCTTCCCTGCTTCCTTTTCCTGCTTTCTCTGAGCAACTTTAAATAAATTCCCCCACCCAGACGTATAAATGAAAGTAAGCATCTTCGAGCCGTCAGCTCCCATTCTTCGCTGCTCCCCACTGTTTCGGGATTCCTTGAACGTTCACGCGGTCGCTCATAGCTTGAAGGTCGCAGGAGTCCATTCGGAGTTTAAATATGTGTTTCATCTTATTCAGAGCTAACGCTTTGAAAGTGAATACCTGACAACCCATTACAGACATTTTTGTTGTATATTTATTTTCATGTTGAATCGGTAGCAGGGGAACTCTTGTGTACTACAAAGCCAAAATGAACAAATGGACTGCTTTTGGTAGCGAGATACAGACTAAAAAGTGTTAACATTTTAGCTAGTTTTAAGTGTCCCTATTGGTCTCATTAATTGGGCTTCAGCCAGAGGGTTATAAGACAAGCGTGACTCCCCGTTTGTTATACCCCGCTACAATTGGTTGGTCTCAAGCGCTCTGCCCTATGGAATATTATCCTCAGACAAAAACCCTGTTTCCCAGAAGGCTTGTGTTACTGACACATCCAGATTCTGAAAAGCCTCTTGTTAACAACAGCTGTAAAGCGAGCTTGTTCTATTCTATTGCTCTTTCTCGGGGTTAATCTCCCCCTCTTTCTCTCCCTTTCATTTCTGTTTCTCTTAATGGCTTGTTGTGCATGGGAGAGGATCCCGCATTAATTAAAAAGAAAAAAAAGACTTTGAAGTTGGATACTTTGCCTTAGGGCATTCTGTTCCAGTTTTTTTGTTGTGGCGGTGGTTGAATTTTTGTTGTTACATCATCGCACCGACCCAGAGATTCAGCCACTGGACGATGTCATCTTATTTGGGAAGCAATGCCGTGCAGTTTAAACCCCCTGTGTACATTTGTTCCCTATATCCAAGCACTTCTTAATATTTAGGAGAGAGCTTTTGCCTGCCCGATGTGTGGAACACTCTCACTGTCTCACTTTTGTTGCGATTACATTCTTGAACTTGAATTTGACCTCAGATAAAAATCCTTTAATGTTCCTGTGGCAGAGTAACAAAGAGCTTAGCCCATGCCTCAGGTTGAGGAGTAACACATTACACTGTAATTGGATTACCGTAATATGATATCACAAATTGCTAATTTGTCACAGTTACTACTGACGCACAAGATTTCTTTTCAAAAATCCATCATTGGCTTGTTGGATTTCACGTAAACATGGGTATTTGGGTTTACACCTTATAGACACAAATAATTGTATTTCCGTTTGATGCAATGCTGTGTCACTTCATGATTCAGCAGTAACGTGAATCAATCTACAGACTCTGTGAACAGTGATGGCTTGGGATTCAAACTGTGACAGCAGTCGAATGTGTGTTCAGTAAAACCTTCATCATACGCAAGTGTTCTGGAGAAAATAGTATCTTTTTTTTTCCCACAATCCTTCTCTCCGGTCTCGGTAGCTACTGCAATATAAATAGGGATCAGTCCTTTTTTAGTTTCAAAGAGAGATGGGATCATCTGTAAAGGAATGAGACCCAGGACCCCCTCAACACAATGAAGTCATATGAGGGGGTGGCGATCTAACCCAAGATGATGGGCTGTCAGCAGCTGCAGTTGTAGCTGTGCCAAGACGGACTGACAAAGGACTGAAGTAGCAAGGCACAGAGCGAAGGAGGAGACAGATAGCCAGGTTAGAGGGAGATGTACTGTAGAAAAGAGAGGAAGGTAGAGAGTGACAGAAAGACAGACAATGAGGGGAAAAGAGAGCTGCAGCAGAGACAGAAGACTGAATCAAAGGGCAGGCCAGACTGGAGCTGGTCTGCCAAGCTGCCCCTCTCAGCACGGGACTCATGCCCATTTAAATCCCATCAACCCCCTCCATCTCTGTGGCACTCTCTCTGTTCACTCTCATGACATGCCACGTCCAAAGCTGAATCAGTGAATGAATGATATTACCTTATGCAAAGAGCCCTCCCTATACCCAGCAAGCCCCATCATGTGCCTCAAGCAACTGAAATGCAATTCGTCACTCATTTCTACTTGCCCTTTACTCCATTTAGGGGTTCCTCTGCTCTCCCTTCTCTCACTCCTCCGTCTCCCTCCATCTCTTTTATCTCTCGCTGTCTCCTTAATTGTGTGCCTTATTGTATTTATCACCCTGTCTTCCTACTTTGCCTGCCAGTATCGGTTGAGCAGTCTCAAATTATCAAAATATAGCCCTGAAATGAAAGTTGAAGTTGCGCCCATGGTTGGAAGTTTAACATTCACATGGTTATAAAGTTTACTGAGTGGAGATTTAATTTATTATTTTTGAAAGTTATGTTACAGCTCATGATGCTATAATGACTTTCTGTTTAAATAGTTTATAGTTATAAATAGTTTGTATGGTGCTACAGATATTTCCGAGCAACCGATTTATACATTTCAGGTCTTTACCAGTTATGACATGACGTTTGAATGATTCAGTAAATCAGTAAACTAGCTTGTAGTTACAAAGAACTAAGGAGGGACTTCACACACCATGTGGTGAAACCTAATATTGATGTTCTTTTCACGTTCCAAACAGTTGCCATAGCTGCTCTGATGATGATTTTGACAGAACAAGCCATCGCATCATGTTCCTGATTGTCACCATCCATCCAACACTTGCTGGCACCCTCTTCCACCCTTCACACCCTTTTCTGCCTCCATTTCTTCCGTCATCCCTGTTTTTCTTCCCTCTCTCTATCTCTGAGTGGTTCTAGCTGTCTTTGATGTCTGTTGTGTGTTTTAATGAGTTTGTTATTGACGGTTGCTCTCCCCCCCCCCCCCCCCCCTCTCTCTCTCTCTGCCACTCATCCTGCCTGCCGGGCTGAAGCCACAGGAGTGCCAAGCAGAAACTTATCAACCCACACACACACACACACACACACACACACACACACACAACAGACATTTTGTGGTCACTTGTAGAACAGATACACACAAACAAGGTTTAGTGGCTTTATTCATCTACATGTGCAAGTACAAGCAGATGTCATCTGCATACACAGAGAAATACGGATATTGTGTATCTCAAATTTATAAATGCAGACACACCTGCTGAGTCACACACATAAAGACGGACTGAAACACACACACACACACACACGTATGTATGTATGTTGAGGACGGAGGAGTTTGCCTCACTGCAGTCTCATGGGAGGCAGCTGTGTACTGATGTATTAATCATCTTTGTCTCCAGCTTGCTAATTAATGACCCATCTGTCCCCTCTCACTGATGTTCCACTTGAAACTCCCTCACACACAAACACACTCACGCAGGGCTGCGACACAACAAACGCACAAGTTCCAGTGATGTATCTCCAGCTCCAGACACTGTGAGCCCCATTCTCGTCTGCATTCATGTAGAAGACCATAAGAAGAGTGTCTGTGGCAGCTTTATCAGGGAGGAGTTCTCCTCTTCAGTTGTGTTTAGGTGGCGGACATTGTGCGTTCAGGCTTGTCTGTGTGTGTGTGTGTGTGTGTGTGTGTGTGTGTGTGTGTGTTTATGTGTGCACTTATGCAAGTGTATGTGTGTGTTTGTAGGCTTATCAGGTGAGCCCGGGCAGAGTGTCAGATGCGGTAATGGAGGCTTCAAAGACAAGTGCTGCGGTGAGTTCCCTGGCTGCCTTTTTCCCCACAACCCCCCCTACCCGAGCGCTGCATAGAGGCAGACAGGCACACAGGTAGACACCTGGATGGATAGGGAAGGGATGCAGGGAGGGAGATAAACAGGCAGATAAATAATTAAGTGGGTGCAAAGTCAAACCGACAACAAGCAGACAGAGTAAATCAGGCTGAGCGTCAGGCAGAGGAGATATTGGAAAGCAGGCAAACAGACAGACAGACAGTCAGTCAGCAATGTGGCCAGGTGCTTTCTCAGCCCATCTCCCTTTCACCTGCATGAGTAGAGCTACTTCAAACGCCCGCCGCTTGTCTGCTGCTTTGTTCTACTGTTTCCTTTGCAGCTGTGGTTGTTGTTGTTGTTTTGATGCCCATCGTCGTCGCCGCCATCGTTGATTTGCTTCCTTTTGAACGGCAGTTCTATTTCTGTCTCGCTACTTGCCTGTTTACATTTCCATCTTTTGTGCTGTTTATGTGTTTGAGTGAATTAATTTTTTTGTGTGTGTTTTGTTTTGCATTTGACAAACAGCCACAGTTAACGGATAGTAACTGAGTGTTTGATCATTAAAAGGTGGAGGTTGATCATATGGTTGTTTTTGTGGCTGTAAAGTAAAGTATGATGAGGTCAGGCAGTTAAATCATCATATTAGACAGTATGTTAGCTAATAAAACAGAAAACAATAAAATAAACAATGAATTTCATGGTGGGATTTACTAGCCAATAGTATATTTTGCTTCAAATGCCGATTTCAAGGTATTGACTTGTCAATGTAACTTTGATATTTACTCAGCTATAGAAATAATTTCAATGTGTTTTAATAGCAGTCTGTTGTGCCTCAAAGCATTTGGACCAATTTACTGAACTATTTGAAATGTCCAGTTGCAAAGTCTTCTTTTTTGCTTGGATTTCATTTGCTATAAGGTAACCCTCAGGACATGATAAAAGGAGGCAAAAGTAGTTCAGTATTGTATTATTTCGTGTTCATGTCCCTGGAAAGATATCTTAATAGTGACCATTTATCTAGTATCACAAGACTAAATCTTTTCTGTGTTGTAGCTGACCCCCAACAATATGTAAATTGATTATTTGTAATAATAATGTTATCCGTGAGTTCCTTTTCATGTAATTTGGTTTTCAATGCAGTATTAGAATAGCACTAAGGTTAGGACTTAAACACTTACAATCCTTTTGCTTTTCTTTGTAACTGTATGTATAAAATGTATGAGTGTATGAACATATGAGTTGCTACTTATTGGGTATGATGTTGATAACATGGCACTGATACCACAGACTTCACCAAAACATCACATACTATGGCATGCTGCCGCCAGATTTGAACGATTGTTGTCTTATTTAATGTTTGTTTAATGAAAAAACCCAATTGCATGGTGATAAATTATAATAGGTAATCTATCAGGTGTCTTAAACTGAATGTTGAAAATATAAATACACAATAACATTGAGGCATCCATACCCTGACTTGTGAATGCACATTCTGTACACTCTGTATGTACTAATGACCGTCCTTGACTCTCTGTTCCGCCTTCCTCCCGACAGCAAACCCTGGAGAACAACCTGACCAACCTGGTGAAGAGGAACAGCGAGCTGGAGAACCAAATGGCAAAGCTCATCCAGATCTGTCAACAGGTCGAGGTATGCAACATGTCGTTGTGTTTGTGTCCTCTGATGCCATGCTCCTTACGCTGTGTCTCTGAATCTGGAACATTTCTGATTGAAGAAGCACAGTGGTAGAAATTGGACTTTCATTTATTTATTACTCGCTTGCTTGCTTTCCTTTTTTCTCTCTCACGCCTCCTGGATAATGGTTGTGGTTTGTGCCAGCAACGAAATGAACGCTCCGAGCGCTACTGATCAAATATTGATTAGTCTCAGGACTAAAAGTGAATTTCAGTTCCCTATCATGGGTTCATTAAAGGTCAGCAGTGCAGCACTGTTTTCAGACAATTTATATCAAATACTTATTACTTGGAAGCCAAAAAGACGAGCAGATACAACAATAATGACTTAAAAGTATCTTTAAAATCTCCTTTATCTTCCATCTCTTTATATTTACAATCACTGGGATGTGTTTGTGCAGCATGATCTTGTTATCTGTCACTTGATCCAGTGACTGACGCAATGCACTGCCATGAAATGAAAACACCAGATACCATTTACGCTCTCAGTGGCCTCTTGTACTTTGCCGACGGTAGCTCTCCAGATAATCTGACTCAAACCATGACTCAAGAACAAAGGATGAGCTGGAGCAGCTCTCGGCAACCATCCACCCTCGAGCTGTGTAAAGGGGCAGTTATGTAATTCAGACAACTTCAAACATTGGAATGACCACTAGACCACTACCAAAAGCACTTCTTTATCTCCTATTACCGATGCCAGCAGCGTAATATGATGCTTTGTGTGTTCAAGGTTATTGTCCCAACTGTGTAATCCAGTGAGCTTTGGTTCTCATGCATCTTCCTGTGTTGAATATGATTTTTAGGATGAATTACAACACTCAAGAGTTGAAGTCCCGCTGGAGCCACTCATACAGGAAATGTTCGCTCCCACATTTAAAGCAGATAAGATTATCTGTCAAATGGCGTTTATCTTCACAAGCCGGCAATGTTTCACAGCTCAGCCGCTTTGATTTAGCAACAACCTTGAAGGACTGTTTGCACTCACAAGCCACTCACAACCCAATACCTGTCTGCAGAATGCTGTACCTCAGCCAATCTTGTCACTGCTGACCTCTCCCATTTGGGCTGCTGCTGTGATTTAATGGAGGTACCGAGTGAATCCAGCCAGAGAGTACTAATGCTTAGCCAGCAAGTGTTGTCTGCACTGCATCGCTAACATGTTTACGCACAAACACACACACACACACACATATACAGAAAAGAGCATACTTTCTGTCTCAACGCTCTGGCTGTTAATAAACGCCATCATTTCTTTGTGAGAGTCGAGATTAATAGCCACAGAGGACAAATGCGCTTCGGTGCCGCCATCACTCTGTGTGCGGTTCATTTGTTATTAGCGGGCCTGACTCCATTTTCTCTGAGTCACTCTGACGTCCACGAGCAACAACTCATGCAGCTCGCTCACCCAATCAAAATTAAATGATCGCTGAGTGATTCATTAAGTACAGACAAACAGTTCGTCAACAATGCATGGAGAGAGAAAAAGAAGTCTCTCTTCATATTGTCTCTGTCTGCATACTAATGTTGTGCCACCGCCAACAACATCAGCGGAATCTCATCACTTATTCATCAAAAGTAAATAAAGTGCAATAGCATGGATGGGGGTGGGGGGGGACATGCTCCATTGACTCTTAAGCAAATTATGAAACGTAACTATATACTGTATGTTCCCTCCCTGTCGCACCCATTGAGAACTATTGTCCTGAGTGTTGTCAATGTCAAGAGGCTGATTCAATTATTGACATGAGGAATTCAATTAAGTGCTATTTTCAGGTGAGTTCATATTAATGTGGCTCTTTAGAGGAGGGGAGAGGAAAGTGGAGAGGAGGACAAATGAGAGGAAGAAAGAGGGACATGAAAGGGAAAGTGCAGGATTGAGAGGGCAAGCAGAGGAAAAGGAAAAGGACGAAGCAAGTGCTAGCGTGACAACCAATGATCTCTTTGACCGAAACAGACACAGGCGCCGTGCGGAAGAAAACGCTAAGCAATAATGCAATATAGCACAGACAGGGAATTTTAAAAAAAAGAGTGTGTGTGCACAAAGTAAGAAAGCTCTGAAGGGCTTTGAGCATGACCTGGTTTCCTCTCCTCCTTGTTTGCATCATATTGTATTGGTGCCGAAGATATGATCAAACATAGTGTGAGTCAGCTTTCAGTGTGTCAGCGCACACAGCAGCGATGCATCCCTGCTCTCCTGGGGATCTCTTCAGGGAGATTTCTTCTCTTCAGTCTAAGGAAAGATGACTTGATGATGTGTTTCTTTCTTGGGAGGCCTCCCACCTTATCGCATCATTTGTTGTGGGATTGTTAATTCTCTTGCTGCGCTTAATGACATTCAGAATGTCATGAGTGTTCTGCTTTCTTTAAAAAAGGAGGAAAATGGCATGATCCTTGAGCTTTTGCAATGATTGTTGTTGAGCTAACATTCACTGTTATCCATTCAATGCCAGATAGCTGGCTGGATATTAATAGACAGCAGAGCAGAGACACTCAGTGAGGCTGTTTGGCAAAGAGCATTTCCCCCGAGAACCACTTTGATATTGAATATGTTGATACAATGGCAACTGAAACTCAATGTAGAGCCAAAGTAAAAGCTGAGATGATACCCTCAAGCATGTCCCATGTTACCTGCATGTTGTTTATCTCAATTACACATTTTCAAGCTGTCTTAATACAAAATATGTTCAGAAAATATTTTTTTTAAATTCTAGTGTAATATTTGTTTGCAAAATCTTTGTCTAATTTTCTTTCTTTCCTCTGTCACAACAATCAGCTCACCTTTATTGTGTGCATCTATTACTTCACTTTCATGGCCCGATTGCTTATATTTTCAAATTTGCAAACATTTTATATTATGTTCCGCTATTTTGTGGAAATGTAAGTTTTTCCCCTCTTATTCAAATGGTCATCTCACCATTTGCACTTTTATAATATTCTTTTGCCATTGTACAAGTTTTGAGCAGACTCAAAACTTTATTTCCCAGGACTCCTCTTCTTCCTCTTTCATACTTACATAACACTTCCTTAAAGGCTTGTGCACTTGAGAACTTTGTCACTGTTCTGAAGTTTTTGACTTTGTGTTCCCTCTTCTCTGAATGTGTTTTGACAATGTGTTTTGTCTTTTCATCTTTCTCTGTCCCACTTTATCTCAGTCTTACTCTCTGTTTGTGGGTCGACTACCCTCCTGAAGCTCGGCTTGTGTTGTGATGAGGGGTGTTTTCTGGCGGCTTCTTAATGAGGGCTTTCCCTCATGATTGTTGATTGCCTAGCTCACATACTGTATCTTAAGGTAGGGAACATCCAGACACAACTAGTATCGAGTTAGTATTGGTTGAGAAAGTGGTCAAAGCAGCAGCCGTTTTTTTACAACCCCTAGAATTGTTTTGCCAGGTGGGAGGAAATAAATTAGCTCACTAATAAAGCTGTAAGTGTGTGCGTATTAGGCCTGATGGAAAAAGGGAAGATTCACATCAAACAGAAGCCCACTGGGTTTAATTCTCAGACATGTATGTCTACTGATTAAACATTGAGCTGTAAGTCGTTAGCCAGAGCTGTCTAGGTTTATGTACACTGAAGCTGATCCCACTGTGTGCAGAATATCAATGAGCTGTGTGGAGATGGCTGTAATGCCGCCTAATCCTTTGTATCAGGTCTCATCCCGCCTCTCTTTACCTTTCTACCGGAGCATCAGTGAGATCGAAGAGTCCGCTGGTGTTGTTTGTCTTTCTCATAGTTCCAAAGCCATTTGCAGTTCCACTTTCAGGCGAAGACGAGGACATCAATACAGCGGGATAATGGCATATACTGAAATAAAATTCCTGCCTTTATGCAGTTGTTATTGTTTGTGCCTTAACCCGATGGCCACACCATGTTTTCATTCGTGAAATGATATACTTCTCCGATTTTGTGTTAAGTGCTTATGTTAATGTTTCTTCTTTTCATCTGTCGAGTCCATTCATTTTAGTGAAAGAGCTTCAGTGCTTTAAGCCATATGCTAATGTCAGCATGCTAACACACTCAAGTTTAGCAGGTAGGCCTCTAATGTTTACCAAGTACACCATCTTAGTTAAGCATTTTGCCACGATAACATTTTATACTTAGCACTGAACATGAACTAAGACTGAGGCAGATGGGACGGATTAACATTTGGACTGCGAGATTAAAGTCAGAGGATCTTCAAAGCCTTTAGTCAGGGAACTATGAATGTCTGTTCAAGATTATTGTTCCAATTTATCAAGTAGATGTTGAGATCTGTGACTTGACTGTGGCGCTAGAGGACAAGTCAGGGGATCACTAACATCATTATCTTCTGAGCCCCATGACTGTGTGTACAAATTTCAAGGCAATCCATCTAATAGTTTTTGAGATATTTCAGTTGGATCAAAGTGGTGCAGAGCAATACTGCCATCAGCTAGTGTGCTAAAAAGACTGCAACACAATCAATTCACCACTTCAACAGGACTGTCTAGATTTATCTCCAAACTCATATATCATATATTATCATATGCCGATTAATAGTTGATTAATGTTGTATAAGTAAATGTGGTTGGCATATAAAAGTTTACGCACACACACTTTGTAGGCTTAAAAAGCCTTAATTCAAATTCATTACCAGTGAAGCATTTCCATTCATCACCTGTTTCCGACATAACGTCCATAATATATGTCTCGCAGTTTCTTTTACGCGATGCATAAAGCCGCTCTTCTTTGTTTTAAAGCCAGGTGCCACACTGGTGTCATAAATCTCTGGGAACTATCCTCGTATCTGTGGACAGCATCAGAGATAAAGCTGTCAGACTGAATCCTGCCATCTTTCTGAGAAGATCGTCTCTGAGAGACAGAGACGGAGGGGGTGGAGGGGTCTTCTCAGTAAAGCAGACAGAAAGGGAACCAGAGGTATAATAGGAAGAAGTGGAAAAAAGTAAAGTGGGATAGGAGGCAGGAGAGGCTGATTGGAGAGGAATGAGCACACAATTGATTCAAGATGTGAAGGTTTTGGTGTCAGCAAGAGGTTAACAGCTGTTCCGAACCCGGACCAGTCCTCACTTATTATGAATGGGAGCCTCTTTGGCTAGAGTGGGTCATTTTGGGAGCCGTCCATTGTTCAATTGTCTGTGCTTGTTGTCTGCAATTGATACCCCGGATGTCGACATTCTGAAGTTTGTGGGTGTGATGTAGGCTAGGGCAAATGTCTTGCAATATTCTTACATACCACAATATCGCAAATGTTTGCAAAAGCACATCTGAATATAATAATGTCTTCAATGTGTTATACTGTGTTTTCACTGTAGTTTTTTTATTACAGTTTGCTTGGAATCATTAATTTACAGTATTAACAGTATAACAATATTTTGTAAAACACTATACAACAACATCATATGCGAGCAAATGTAAATTCATGTCAACTCCTGCAATAAAGTTTGAAACAATGTTTTCAGAAACATATTTGAGTGTACTGTTTAGCTTTAAAAATGAGAAACCTTTCTCCGGCCCTGGGGGTGGTGCTTGGTTTCGGCTCGACTGATTTCAACATCGCGTCCGTGTCACAAACGTTCTAATTTTTACAACTTAACAGTACACTAAAACATGTTTCTGAGGAAAAAGGCAATGCAGTAACTGAATCTTCATTCATATTTGACCAGCGCTGCTTAGTTTGATCGGAGTTTACAAGCAGTGACTGACACCGGATGTCCCATTATGTGTGAACTTGTCTGACTGTCTCAGAGTTGCCATGTGTTAGAGGTGACATTCCTAGGCTGCCGTTGTCCTCTTAAACTCTTCCTTTAAAAAACCTGCAAAATATAAAGATATTACACACTGTCTACGATCTGTATCTGCTCATTCCAACACCTCCTTGGACCTGCAAAATGCATACACTGAAGGAAATATTCATACTGAGCGCTTTTATTCTTGGTTTACCATTTTTAAAAATGTATTATATGACACGTAGACATTTTGTGAATCGTTGTATACTCCTGCCATAGTTGGTATGTGTGTATGGAAACTTTTGGAACAAAATAAATGTGTGTGAGTTTGAACAATGCTTGTTAACGCAACATCAGTTTGTAAAGATTCACAGTTTAAGAAGATACATTTGGATTCGTTATGTCAGGGTGGGCGGAGGATTTATTATTGTTTGCCAGGGTCTGGGATCTTTTTATGGTGTTGCAACTCTTGAGCAAAAACACATAGCTTTATAACGACTGAATGCAATTTGCTGAATCATTAAAACTCACAATTCAGTTAATCTTTCCGGAGTCAACAGATTTTTTTGCAAAACCGCGAAATAGTGAGAGATTACGATGTTAATCAGAATATCAGGGGAGCTCAAAACCTTCCCCCTCATTTGGACTTCAGCCCACCTCTGTGTGATCGACAACATCCGAATGTGTCCGCTTGGCCCAACACATCAGTCACGTCATTACTCGCTGAAACAGCGCAGACTGGGTGTTGAATGGTGGCTGTCAGTCATTTGAAGGCAGAAGACAAATGTAGCCGCATGGTTCATTTTATTTCATTTCAGCTTGTAATACAGTACTTGGTGTACAAATATGGGCGATAAATTTAATCTTGACATAGTGCTGGAACTGAACTCTAACTAATGATGTATGGGAGCATATGGGCTCAGTGTAACCCTTCTGTGAGAGAATGAGAGTTGGAAGATGTGGTGAGGGTTTGTAATGAACATTTCATTTAATGATTCTGCTGTCAGATTGCAATCTGTGGGCTACATTGTGTCATAATTGTCTAGATGGGCTTATTTAATACTATTCAGTCGCTTGTTATGTCTGCATCTCCTTACTGAGTGTAATTATGGCTGCTGATGATAAGACATTTTCTATTATGGCCAAGAATGGGGTGCACTCGGATGTCCACTGCATTAACGTCAACAAAGCTTTGTGCTCAAACATACTCAAAATTGATGGACAAGTCACATTTTTCACATTAAGATGTCCGCCATATCATCTGCCCAGATAATTGTTAATTCGTTGCTGTTGTTTACATTCCTCCTGATGCAACTTTAGAAAACGCACTACAGAAATGCACTACTGTCTTTGTTTTGTTTTGTTTGTCATGTTTTTCTTGTGTAGCAAATGGGCTGCAACTGCATGGATGAATACAACTGCCATAAAAAATATGAAGATATGAAATGGCAATCCCAATTAATTTAAGAAATATCTTAATCATAAATATCATCAAACAGTAAGATACCTGTGTTCTACTTTCTGGTATTTTAAATGAGCACACTGGTTTTAGCTTTTCTTCAGTCCATCTCAGACAGTCTTTAAGCTGATTTTTACAACCGTCCTGATCGCAGGAACAGCTGGAAATATCTTTGACACTGAAAGAGTTTTCAACCTTGCTGTGGTTGTTTTGCGCATACTCCAATAATAGACCCACAGTATGGTTTAACGTGGAGTTGGCACTGTGATTTCAGAGCACCCGCAGAGGAGCCTGATGAATAGGGAGATGAGCAGTTTGTGACAGTGTTTGTGTAGCAGGGAGTGGATAACAATGTCAGGAGCTGGCAGAGGAGGAGGAGGAGGTTTTGAGTGAGGTGAAACAGGAGGAGGACGGAGATGAAGATTGTTTCCGTAACTCTAAGCTGCCAAGTAGCTCAGTTGTAATTCACAATGATCCTGGACGGCTGCATTTATCCTGCTTAAGTACTAACCTGCAGTCATAAGATTGCTCTTCGCGGAATTAATTGTGTGTGTGTGTGTGTGTGTGTGTGTGTGTGTGTGTGTGTGTGTGTGAATAAAGAGGCTTAAGTGGATCGGCGCATTGTAATGAGCAATAAGCTTTGTGGAGTGATGAGGTGAACTTTGTTGTTGGGTAAGTAGTTTGATAGTCTGCAGCGTGACAGAAAGTCACAACCCAGTGAAATGTAAGAATGAGGGACTGTTCAAAAGGAGATGAATCGTTCTCTGGACATATATGAGAATGCACTGACCTAAATTGAATTAACTTGTTTTTATCCGTAAAAAGTATAGAGACAAAATCCACAGGTGGTAAAACTATTTATAATAATATAAACAAAACTCCTCTATGAGAAACTATAACTACAGAAGAGTTGCAATAAAGCAGAAGTCAACTCTTTTATTTATTCATAGTTTACAGAAAACTTCTTCAATGTCATTGCGACCCATTTACTCTTTCTTCATTCTCACAGCTAGTTATTAAGAAGTGCCTCCAAATCCACAATGAAGAGACTTTCTTAGATCTTCTGCCTGTTTTCCAGAACCTTTCAGCACAAACGTGTGTGTCTTTATTGTCCCACTGCTGGTGTGATCTTTAATTTAAATGTAACTTAAAAATTGTCGAACCCGGGCAGAGCAGTGAAAGGGTCTCTCCTCACAAAGCATTCGCGGCTGTACTACTGTATAATGTTTGCCAGCTCAGCAGTACTCTATGCGACAGTCAGTGCACTGCAGAAAACACTCACCAGTGCTTTTGTGGCAATAAACACGATAGAACTATTGAAGCAGATGAAGCAGCAGTGCTGTTGTAAAGGCCACCGTTGATGGTGAGCCTCTATTGGATTTTTTTCATGGAATTCCTCCTCCTAGATACTTCAGAAGCTGCCAGTTTGAGTGAAAGCGCCCCGCAGTCACCGCGCTGGGTTGCAGAGTATGTTCTGGAGTAAGTCTGTGATTTCTCCAATGTTCTGAAGTGGCTCCCGTAGACAAAATAATGGTGACTCCTGTCACCACTGTGGAGGAGATGCACTTGCAGTCTGTGTAAATTTGTGGCAACTTTACATCAGTTTACAAGAACATAGTGTACAGTTATGTGGAGATCATGATGAAAGTACAGCTCCTGGAGCAAACAAAGCAGTGATACGGTTTCTGTCTGTGTGACGTGCGGAGATACGTTTTTATCTCATTCAGAAGAGAAATTTGGTTTTGAATTCACAAGTTGGTGTTTGCTGACCTTAACATTAAATCTGCTGGTGAAACAGCCCCCCCCCTAATTTGGTGTAGTTATAATTGTATTTCACAACTGGCAAAACTGTTGGTAGCAGTTCAGCAGACACCCTTAGTGTATAACACGCACCCACACAGTGTTTGTTGAAGTTGCTGGCTGTTCATACAGTGTTAGCCTGAGATGGTGAGCTAATGATGAGTTGCCTTGGCAACTTTGCTCCTAAAATAATCACAGAATCTATTAAATCGGCGTGGTGTACACAAAAGTGAATTAACGAGTGTCTGCACAGGCCCTTTTCGGGAGCTTTTTTTAATGAAGAGTCAAATATTCCAACAATCCTCAACATATTTCTTGTTCATAATGAGTGAAATAAACATGTTTTTAGAAAAGAATATAGTAAGATGGTAGTATTTCATACAAGGACAATACATGATTTAAATTCAGCAGCAAGAAACAGAACATTTTAGAGAATGACACATTATTTTATGAAATTTCTTGTCACCTTCAATGCCCACTAGATGGATGACTGTGGAGCAAGCAGTGTATCTACTGTATGCATTGCAAGGCTCCTTGGATCAGTGTTTGCTCTGTAATGTAAAATTATTTATTGTCTTTCCAGTGACAACTAAAGATTTGGAAATCACTTATCTCGAGAGATAGCAAGTTAGTTCTAATCCAGGAGCACATCTTGTTAGCTTTGCTTTGTGTGCAGAATGCACAGTGACATGGACAAAACAAATGATGCTCTCTACATGTAAGTGATCATATGGATCAGTCATGGCTGCCAATCCAGAAATCTGACAAAGCTCCCTACAAACAGAGAAGCATTATGTTCACATGTGTTTGCTTCTGTCTCTAGGTAAACACAGCCATGCATGAATCCAAGCTTTTGGAGGAGTGTGATGAGCTCGTGGAGATCATCCGCCAGAGAAAACAGGTCATCGCTGTGAAGATCAAAGAATCCAAGGTAAAAGATTCTCAGGATGCATTCATACCTTTTTTTTTTCAGCTTTTGGCTCGAGAGAGATTTTACTACAGGAATATTTAAAGTCGTCTGGAATTATGACGATGGGTGGTTTCAGTAAGTTAAAGCTACATCCACTGATTTTAGCCATAAAGGGGCATTAAGACTAAATGTAAATGAATGTAATTGCGGTTTTAGATTTATAACAGCAGGATGTTGGGTTTATTGAATTGACTTTGTTTCATTCAGAGTACGTCAGTTCACAGTTCCGTCTCACTGCCATTTGAAGCAGCCAAATTGACAATTACATATTTAAGAAACTCAGCTCTGGGTCACAGTCCGCTGGCAGAGAAACAGTTTGTTTTTTTTAACTTCTGCACAAGAGATTGAATAAGAGAGCAGAAGCGCCGTGTGAAGGAATATATTCATCCAGGTCTCTCAAAGATGTTATTTTTAAAAGGCTGCCTCTGTAGTTGCCCGCTTGTTTACCCAAACACACATCACATGGACGCTTGAGGAGAGATGGAAAAGATGAGCGAGGAAAAAGAGAGCAGCAATAGGCCTCTTCCACACGTAGGCAGCCAACCTTAATGTGTGTGGAAAGTATCTGAGGTGGCAGCAAAGACTGTTGCTGCAGGACTTAGTGTACGTTTGTGTGGATGTGTGTGTGTGTGTGTGTGTGTGTGGACTGCACACGTGCCCGTGTGGTTATGGGTGGTTTGTTGCCCTTTGAGCACCAAGGGTTTCAGGACAGAGGCAAACTGTAAATCTCACCCTCCCAGAGGTGAGGTTTTAAGTGCTTGTGGAAGATCCTCTGAGACAGCAAAAGAGCTTTGTCGAAAGATGAAAGATTTCCAAACTCTAAACACAAGGACTGAAGTAGGTTTGTGTGGGGTGTCCGCAGTGACCTCCGACAAAGAGCAAGGCTTGTTCTCTTGAGAGTCTGGGTCTGTAAAAGGCTGTCTAGTAGAGGGTAGAGGAGTGATATGTAGGAGACGGAGGACAGAGGGAAGTACACATGGAACACTAGAGGAGCGCTGGATTGATGTCAGCAGATGATGTGTTCATATTTAAATCTGTTTAAGGGTCAAGAAAGATATATGAAATACACCTTCAGTAATTCAAATAATCACGGCTGTGTTAAAAGGGATGTTTGCCTTGAGAGGAGACCACTCAGGTCAACTAAACGTAGGTTGTTTTAGGCATTTCCCCCAAACGAAAAAACATTTTTCTTTTCTGTTAAGAACAGTGTCGGAAAGGAAAGTGTTCAGAGGTGACTCTGCAACAGAATAACAGGATTATGCCGGCGTGATCATGGTGAGCAGAGCTGTGCAAGGTGCTCCTATTTTCTCTCCGAGGAGACTCGGCAGTCATGCCTAATCTCTCCCTGCCCAAACAAGACACACACACCATTCCCATGTTCTGGTGTGTGCAAGAGCGTCTCTATCACGTGACTCTGCTTGTCCTCCAGCCTTCTCTGCTACTCATTCGGAAAACTATTTTAACTCCTTTTGAGCCTTGAGGATTAACAACTCAAGTCTGTTTTCTCAAAAACTGATGTTATTAGTGTAACAACAGCAGGTATTTGTTTGAATAAATAAAACAGTACTGACCCTTTTTGTGGCTCTGCCAATTACGACTGCTGCGTCTCAAAAGGAATGGCAGAAGTAGCGTGACGATGTTATGACACCAGAATCCTCTTTGGGTGGAGGTTGTGGTCGATGGTTGGGTTTACAAAGCATGTGACTTTGACTGCTGTTCACATCCAGCTTCCTGCTTTCATTCAAGATGTCTTTCCTGAAAACTACTTTAAAGGAATAGTTTGACATTTTTTGTCTTCTTGTCGAGGGTTTGATGAGAATGATTGCTACACGTATCCATACAGTACATACACAGTAAATGTATACTGGAGCCAGCAGATGGTTAGCTGAGCTTAGTAGAGAACGAGCGTAGAGTTTAGAAAGACCGGAAACAGGGGGGAAACAACTTAAGTTTGCTACTGCTTATCTGAGCAAAGTTAGCTTCACACAAATACATTTTGTGAGCACAGAGCTCACATTATCCATTGAGCGCTAATAATAACGTTCTAAATATAATTTGTGTGCTTGCAAAATATATTTTTCTGTCCTCAAAAACGTTCCACCGTCCCAACATTTAAGCTGAGATTAATTTTTCAACTTCAGATGAGTGTGTCTTTACAGGAGGTGAGACGCTCACACACACACACACACACACACACACACACAGAACCTGCCGTATAGTCCATTACTCTGAGAGAGAGAGAGGGAGTAATCATCGCTAAAATTGTTTTTAACACATGTTGCAGAATAATAACACATCCATTAAACCCGTCTCGCCTCTCGTCTCCGTGCGGTCAGCAACCTGCTCAAATGTTGTTTTTAGGGACAAGAGATTAGGACGGACTTAGTGGAAGAGCAGCGAAGACATCAATTGAAAAATCCATTAAGTCGGCAGCTAAGAGGCTTCTGAGCAGCACCAGCAGTAGGAAGTGCACATTATATACAGTTTTGATTCTTTGAGAGCTTTTGATGACAAGCTCTGAACCGAATGCCACCCAGTGTTTTTTTTAATATGTTTTTTGTTTGCATAATTCACGGCCTGCAAACAAAGAATGTGTTGCTGATAATATAAATGACTAATTCTTTAAGGGCACTCATCATTTTATATGTTTCTGCTCTTTTTTGTTTAGCTTTAGTGTTCAGAGATTCAAGTTGTTAGCTGTTACTAGAAGTGTACTTTTTAAGACAATAAAGCAACTTTACCTCACCGTTTGCCATTTATAAAGTTCAACAAGGGTTTTTATTTAATCATCATTGCTGAGAGGCTCTCCATGCTGAGGCTGGTATTAAATTATCGGCTCACCTTTCGTTGACAGTCTCCAGGCTCACAAGCAGTCTGCGTTGTTTCCTGTGGAGAGTTATATAAAACTAAGTTCATTTGAGGAATCAGGACATGAGCCATAATAAAGATAAATGGATTACTCTAACTCAAATGAGCATGCGGTGGCTTCCTTATGCTCATTCGATAATCATAGAACAGAACATTACAAAACCCTGTGTGCTTATGATTGTGTATAAAGAGTCTGAACCCTGACCTGACTGGTGATCTCATCGTCAGCATTTTGCTCACAGAAATACACATTTATGACTCATTATATCAGATAATTGGCCTTATAGTTGGCCTTGCTTCAACTATGACCGAGCCAGCAGGACTTTGTCCTGTCCGCTGCATTCTTGGTGTTTGTCACTGTGTTTTCCTGTCTATGACCCTGCATGTCTATGAGCGTTCTCCTATAGGTCATCTAGAGGTTTATTATTGAGTGCATGACAGCCGTTAAAAGGTGATAGAACAGGCAGATTTATGAGACGTTTATTTGGAGCATGTGTTACATTTTTTGCTCCATTTTTCCTCCTTTCATCAGTTCCTCTCATAAGCTGTTATAATGCCCTGTGCTCACTGTTTCTACGTGTTAAATTAATTGCACATAAGTTAAAGATTCATCTGACAAGATAGTGTCGAACACATTCAATATCTATCCAAAATTCCTGCAGAGGCGTTGTGTTTTTTTTTTAGTGTTGTAATAAAAATCGCAATAGCCTGCAGTATGGTAACTTGTTGGTTTCACCTAGTAGGTGTCATCTCAGGGTCTGCTACAAATTCAGACTTCAGAATTTTAGAGCAATTTGGCAAAAAAGCTTAATCATACTTTCTGGAAGTACAAGAACGTATTTATGGATTGGTGTCACAATGATGAATGCCTCATATAGAGACCAACAGTCCGCTCACCAAAACAGGCTCCTTCCAGGCCTCAGACTGAGCAAATGATTATAATAGGTGTGTCGTAACATAGCAACATGGTGTGTGTTTCTGATTTTGTTCCAGGTGATGAAACTGCGTAAGTTGGCTCAGCAGATTGCAAACTGTCGCCAGTGTCTGGAGCGCTCCAGTGCCCTCATCACACAAGCCGAACAGAGCTTGAAGGAGAACGACCACGCCCGCTTCCTCCAGACTGCCCGAAGTGTAGCAGAAAGGTGGGTTACCTAGTGTATAGACACACACGTCTGCACACACACACACGCAGTAAAGGGAGAAAAAGTGATGGAGTGGATGGTAAACTTTGATTACATCGGTGGTTGTTTGGAGGTAATATTGAAATTTCCAGTTTTTACACTGTTATTGGTGATAGATCTGATCATATGCACTTAGAAAGTGTCAAAAAAAGACACGAGACACATGAATAAATGCAGTGGTAAGCCACACAAATCGCAAAGTCCTACAGTGAGTTTGCCTTTTTGTTTCCATGAAATCCAATCTTGGAAAGTAATGCAGCTGGTGAAAAAAGCATTATATCAACCTCATTAGCTCCTGCGATCCATGCCAGGCCTCTGGTGAAAACCATCTATCTTTTAAGTGGCCAGCTATGTGGTTTCTCTTTCCACCTGCATACTTCTGTAATACCTTCATCCCCTGCTGCCTCCGCAGGCTGGAAGCTTTCTCACTTATTCTCTCACACAGACAAAGCTCGGTGCAAAATCTGTAGCTAGCGTAGCATCTTTTTATTTGGCCCGGATTCTTTTCCAGCGCCTGGCTGGGCGCTTTATTGACCGGCTGGCTTCTCTTCTCTGAGGAACAAAAGGCTCAAAGCAGAAGTAGGCACAAGTTTCCACAAAGCTGCACAGACCACAGAGTCATTGTGTCAATGTGTGTCTGGTATTAATGGATCTCAGGGTTAACAGACACAGACAGGTTGCAGACACTTCAGTTTGATGCTGTGCACATTTCTATATTGTTTCTATTTTATATTCTATTCCTCCATATTTTTGTTCCCTTTTTTTCCACCTCATCGTTTCTCACACACTGCTACTGTCTGACACCTCTCCCCTCTTGTCACCTCGCCTCCTTCACCTCTCTCCTCACATTTGTTCACCTCTGCATCACCTTTCATCGTTTCCTGCTCGTCCCCGCTTTTCCTCCTCTGCCTCCTCACCTCTCTGTCGTTCCCCTGACATTTCCATTCCTCGCTCCCGTGTCCTGACCGCTCTTTAGGGTTGCCATGGCGACAGCCTCCTCCCAGGTACTCATTCCTGACGTCAACCTGAATGAGGCGTTTGACAACTTTGCCCTTGACTTTTCTCGAGAGAAGAAGATTCTGGAGGGACTAGATTACCTAACGGGTAAGAGCTGCGTCAGTTTGGGTGCGATGGACACCTACAGTACATGAATGCATGCAAGCTAAAACATATTTATAACTATTTAGATCTCTTATTACTTATTATATTACTATATTTGAAATTGTAGTTTCTGCTCCGGTGCACCTAACTTTACTAATCTTGAGGTGACAGAATTACTTCTGTATTAAATCAGATTATAACCATTATTATTATGATGATGTACAACTATTGCTTTGCTATAAATCATGTTGTTGTTTCCTCATCGTGTAGCTCCCAACCCACCATCCATAAGAGACGAGCTGTGCACCGCCTCCCATGACACCATCACTGTTCACTGGACGTCCGAGGACGAGTTCAGCGTCACCTCCTACGAGCTGCAGTACACCATCTACACCGGCCAGACAAATTTCATCAGTGAGTCTCGTGCACATACACACACAAGTATGGTATCAAAGAAAATCAGAGCCGTGCTGCAGATCACATGCACTCATTATCTGAGCCAAGGAGGAAGTTCATGTTCAATTGTGTTTCAGCAATAGCCAGGGGATTTCTGTTAGATTTTTTAATCAAGGGTTGGCCAAGCGGGATTAAATACTCTGTTGACCTGTGTTTAAATACCTTAATATTTTAGTTGATGTAGAATTGGAAAACTGGCAGAAATATTTGATTTGCTTTTGATGTTGTGTATGAAGGAAGTAATTAATTGAAATGTCAAACTGGCTATTTAGAGCTTTCAAAGAAACACAATACAATCCAGTTGCCTTTTGGAGGCCTCTAACATGGAGGCTTCTGCTATATCATTAGAGCAAAATACCTGCATGGTAGCTTCAAACGCTAGAGATCAATGGATCTCTCCGGCATAAAGAGTGTTTTAATCATCAATAGTGTTTTATCAAATGGAAATTTGAAGAGCTTTTAAAGTGAGATTGTGTAACTTTTGAAAGAGGACACAACACAAATAAAACACAATCTTGCTCGGGGGTTTCAGTGCTCGAGCTTCACTGGTTTTGGGATGGCCAGTAGCTTATTTTTGTAAGATTCAAATTGACATTACTGAGTCAGTTTTCTGACTTTATGACTCTTTCCTATTTGTGGTGCAGTTATGTTACATTTTAGCGTTCATCAATGTACTGTAATTGTAATTGTCCATTGAAAGCAGGTTTAGGACATGTTCTGAGCCTCTTCTGACACAGATGCAATCTAAAAGAAACACGCCGTGCACACTGACCTCTCTGCCGTTAAATAGAGAACTAAACTGGGGCACCAAATTACTTGTCCTATTTTCATATTTTTCATATTTTATACAAACTGTGTTGCATAACCTAGATTTTCTGTCCAACTTTAGTCTTTCTCTGCCATGCTTGTATTTATAGAGATAGAGCTGAGTTATCAATACTTCTTGTTCCAAAAATAGGACGTACAGTACATATCATGAAGGAATGCTTTGAAAAGATTCACTATTTAGTATCTGGTTTTTCTTTAAACGGTGTGAAAAGTCTGCAGAAAAAAAGATGAGAATGTAAAATCACTGCTGCCCTCTTTTGGCCGCGTCCATTGCTCCCTGTACCAAAGCTTATCTTTGTTTCAGGCTTGTAAAGATATCACGATTTATATTCAGGATACTGTACTTTGGATCTGCTAGTAGAGTCGAATTCTCTCAAATGTGTTCTTACATTGTCTAATTTGCCTCATTAATCCTTATTTAACACTGCCATGGTAAATGTCTGTCTATGCTTCCTTTGTTGCATACTTAAACATGCACCATAGAAAGCTGCAATCATTGTCATTTTTAGGAGCAAGTTATGAGTCTTCAGTACAGAAATGTGGATCCATTATCGCTACCATGTGTCTGTATATGCGGCCCTTATTGTTTTGGCTCATAACTCCAGAACGAGAGGCTCAGAACATGTCCTAAATTCACGGGTTAAAGTTAAACCTACCCCCATGGTCACAAATAGTTGTGCTTGAATACAGTTTGGCCTGTTTTCCATCATACTTATAAAATGTTATCCATTATTCCCCATATTCTATGTTATACCAGTATATTTGTGTGCAATTGAAGCCAACTTTAGACGCACATTCAAATGATCTATGTAGTCATGGGCCTTACTCTCTTGAAATTAATTCAAAGTTCTAATATTCCTGCACACAAATTACATATTTATCAAAACTCTTGGCCCCATTAGCTAATCGGTATTAAAGCTGATTGTCTATCACCTGTACATAAATGAAGGGAAAGAAAGGTCACCGTGGAGGAGGAGAGGAAGGGGTGAACAGGTGAGAATCCGAGTGGATAATGGTTATACAGGGGAGGTGAGAATTACCACTTACTACGATGAGAAGGATATGATTGATGCACATAACCGTGAATGTGCACACACACCTGTGCCTCTCCACTTTAATCCTTTCATCGTCTCTTCTCCTCTCCTCCTCTCTGTGTAGCCTGACATTTCTCCATCTAACCATGCAACTCAAGTGCCCCAACAATTTGAAACATCAGGATACATTTCAGCTGTGATAGACTGAGTGACTCAGATATTCAGCAGTGTGCTGCCACAGAGTCCTCCGAGATTCACAGGAGAAACTGAGAAAGAGAGAAACCCATTTAGCCTGGCACACCACTCGAGTTTTTACCACAGCATTTATCTCAAACTTTGCGTGGCTAAATGCTCCCACTTGAGCGCCATCCGTTCTCTCTTTTTTTTTTTCTTCTCCTGGCCTCATCCTCAGCCTTGCCTCTCCCATGAGGAGGGTCGCCTCTGCAGGATCATCCAAGCACAGCAGCAGAAAATAGAATCAGCAAGTAAAACCAAATACCATGGAGAAAAGTAAGCTGCGTTAGAAAGCCAAATATGACTGCAAGTAAAGATGTCTGCACTGTAATAGTGGAGCTGCTACCTGTCTAGTGGTGTTGACCCATTTGTTTATCTGCCAGACAACATCCCCAACTCTCCACTTATTCTGTACATCCACTCCGCGGACAATATTTGTTTTTCTTTTTTTCTCTTCCTCATGCTCACTCACTCAGACACATCATACTCAGACATTAAAACAGAAAAGCAGAGTGTAATTGCTGATTATTTGACTGATACAGATTTATTCCAATGCTTGTATTGATCCAAGGGTTCATTTTAGCATGCACATTTTATCGTTTGACATTTTGGGAAATATGTTTATACGCTCACAGTCACAGTTATGTCACTTCGCCCGGCCAAGAAATAGTCCAGCACATAAGCCCTGCATCTTATTTTGTCTGGACTAAACAAACATGTTAGTTAGTGAGCTTTAGTGGTGCTGGAAGGAGGATTATGTTACCTTTGGACAGAGGCAAACTACCTTTATTCCCCTGCTTACAGTCTTTATGTTGCGCTAACCTAATACTTTACTGAATGAATTTTAGATATTTAGACTATGTAGGAAATGCTGTCACTGTTTTGCATGGAAAAACAACAGACTGATGTAACAGCATCATCATCATGGCTCCAGGTGAAAGGTCTTCCCATGTTACACCCACAGAACCATTGTTGGCTCTACAGCCTCTTTGTTTCTTTTGAATGCCTCTCCTCATTGTCCTATAAACTAACAAGATTAAGAAGCCAAATAGCCTCACTATCTCCATACGCATCAGTTTTCCTGCATCGCTCAGCTGATTCTGGACCAATAGAAGTCAATATCCATGTTCCCTCCTCTCTCTTTTCCAGTTTCTATTGCCAATTCATGATTTCTTTTCGGCAGGCCTGTGTGTTAACCACACTAGCAATACCTCTGCCTGCTGGTTTCATCCATCTTTCATGTGTATTCATATGCACTTTGCCTGCGGTGAAGTGTTAATGTGATTATCACAGGTGAGAGCAGTAGCGCAGTGGGCGTTAGGAAAGCCCAGAGTTTGGTATAAATCTCTGTTTCTCGACAGGGCATCTTTCAGAGTATCAGCTGGATCGATGTTTTAGCAGAGTTTGATGAAACGTTGATGAGGGTTCAATCTTTGCGGGAAACTAGTGAAACAACAGAGAGCATTTTAAAGCTACTGTATGTGAAGGCACCAAGAGATATGCTGGGGATGCATAATATTGCTTTTATTTATGCACAGCTGCTCACATACACACACACACACACACACACAGTAACCGTTAACTCTATATTGCATCATCAACGACAAACCCTCCTGCAGTCCGAGGATACTTTGTGTTTCTGTTCCCTTCTCGTCCGCAGACACAAACAGACGCACACACACACAATACTGTACATGCACACTCACACTTGATATCTGGATGCAAGACACAAGCCGATCTATTTCCCCGTTTCCTCCTTTTTTTACGACACATTCAGTAACTGCTCCACCACACTTTGAAGTCACAATTCTCTCCGAAGCAGCACCACTCGGTTAGTGTCAGAAAGCCCTTTTTCAGTGGTACAAGTAGCAGTAGCAGCATTGCTGTGTTCTGACCTAATTTGATTTTGCAAAAAGGGAGAGGTGCTACGGAGATCAAAAGCTTTAAAAATGGAAAGCGGCGTGAAGTCCTTCTCCCTCGTCTTTTCCCTGTATCTCTTTTCGAAAGCCCACATAGCATTGTAGCATGCCTCATTTCTACAGGAAGTGGCTAAAATGACAGGTGGGAGGCACAATTTTTACAAAAAGGGACAGCTGTCCCAGTAGAACGACATACTTGTTTTCTTTTGTGAGGATTTCACAGTGGATGCGTATGTGTGCGAGCAGGCTGAAATAAGAATGCGGATGAATCTGCTGGCCATCTCTGGATACAAAACGGATTGTGTAAATGCAAGGTGTAAAGAAGCTGCTCTAAACCTCCCCTCTCTCTCATCTTAAAGGAAGATGAAAGCCCTCTACGTTGTTTTCTTTGCCAGAGAAAAGCTTGTGGAAGTCGGCAGATATGTAAAGACACAGCCTTCACTTTGACTTTAACAGTCCCCTCCCCTCATTCATTCTTAACGGCGCCTCACTTTTAAAGGCCTTATTTGCGTCCTGTGAAGTATTTATATTTACAAGCAGACTCTAGGATATTACTTATGCATGCTGTTGCCATCTTGTTCAATAATTCACAAGGCCTCCTCACCAGAAGGGACAAGGCAGGCATGGCCCCGAGAGCTCTCTCCATCTCAGGATTCTTATTTCCCAGCAAATCTGCAGGGAGGGGGAGAAAGATGAGACAATGAAAAAGATTGGTATTCTACCTTCAACTCCACAAACATTATCTTTAGCTGTAGTGCTACAGACAAGATGCTTTGTGTGTTTTGGCGAGGGTTTGTTTGAATGTGTTTAGAATTGTTCAGGTGGATTAAAGAAATGTTCAGGCTGGCGCTCACGATTTGCATAAAGAACATCATTTCTGTCTGGTCTTCTGTCACATCATGCCACTATTTCTCATAATGTTAGTGAAGCTCACAGCTGTCAGTGTAATTAATAATTCATAAATGTCATCATTTGTGCTGTTAACGAGGTTAAGAGGCCCTGTTCTATTCACCCGTCCTCTATGACAATGCCATTAGAGTCTGCAGCTTATTTCAGCTTATTTTTTTTTTTTTCACACATCGACTAGAAGCACAGGTGCAGTACTTTAAGCAACTGTCAAATTTCCCTCCGCCTCAACCCTGCCATCCCAGATGAAGCCCTCTCACCTTGTGTTGAAAGTTGTGTGTTTCAGCTTCAAGATAGGACGAACACCACTTCAAAAAAAATCATATGTTGGGGGAAGTGGCGGTAATGTTGGTGTGTAAATTCATGCCCGTTATTGCACACAAGACTGGAGGCCATGAAGAGCACCCCATTGTAGACGAGCCTCTCCTCAGCCCCGAGCTGACATTTCCTTTTTATCCTTCACAGTCGGATGCAGCTGAGCGACTGAAAACACTGTGTTTAGAGGCAGGTGACTGCAGAGCGAGCCCGACCTTTACTAACCCTCTGTCTTCAAGCCGCTCTGAATCAGAGGGCCCACCAACTGGGGTCATGTTGGTATCGCACATGTTTTCATACATTTGAACATTGAAGGTATTTGCCCTCAGGCGCTTACCAGCAGACGTTCTGTCATGTTGTGGAGATACCTTGTTGTTCTTAATGGGTTCAGCTTAGTGTGCACACAACATCGCCTCAGGGGAGCATGCCATGATAAACCTGATGGAAAGGTAATGGGGTAGATCAGTGTGTCCACATAAATATTGCATAACATCGCGAACTGTATAGTTTCCGAGCCTCTTTTGAACATTACTGAAAAGCTTTTCAGCAGGATTCCCTGTGATGAACCTTAAAACATCAAAGTAACTTGGTAACTCATGCTATGTGTGTCTTTGTGTGTTTCTTTGGATCTGCCAGGTTTGTACAACTCGGCAGACAGCTGGATGATCGTACCCAACATCAAGCAGAACCACTACACGGTGCACGGCTTGCAGAGTGGCACCCGTTATATCTTCTTTGTCAAGGCTATCAACCAGGCAGGAAGCCGCAACAGTGAGCCAGCCCGCCTCAAGACCAACAGTAAGCGAAGGCTTGTGTGTGTTCAGTTTGTTTTGAGAAGACAAAGTCTGTGCCGTTTGTGCAACATAACGTACAGGCTGTCACTCATCAAAGCTTTCCTCAGGGGGGGTTGTCTTTGATTTACGTACGAGTGAAGGATAAGTAGCAGAATTAGAACCAACTTAGATTGTAAACTATTGAAAATGAAAGGAAGGACCTGAAACAGCGTCTGTAGTGTTTGACAGATTTCTGTCACAAACACGCATTCAAACATCCATTGCATGCTCCACGAGAGCTTCCCGAAATGATTTGTCTTTCAGTAAATACGTGTTACTTTTTAGAAATGTATCATATTGAAACACTTGTTTTTAGTCATAAAAGTGGGATCCACTGTTTGGTTTTTTTTAACACAAGAGAAGCACAACCTAGCTTGACTTGAATTGAGTTAATCAAAATAAATCTTAATTGCTTAAATGTTATTTGTCAGGTTGTTTAAGCTATCAGGCAGAGCTTGTAGTAAACAACTTATTATTTAGTTTTACCCTTTAAGCTTTCCAGAATACTATTATGAATTAAAAAACAGGCAGGTAGGGAGGTCCGTCCACATAGAAGCATGTGTATTTTATATCATGAATATCACCTTCACTTTTTTTTATTAAGAGATTCTTTTAAGCAACATAAACTTACTGTGTACATTGAGCTTTGTTATAACCCATGCGTTATTCCCCTCCTATAATGCATAAGGCCTCTTTTCATCTTAACTTTTTTATGTAGTATTAATGACTTTATATTGAGAATTGTGGCTTTTACATATATGTTCCAGTCTGTTCAAGTCTTCCTTCTGCTACTAAATTAGCAGCAAAGTTTAGTAGCAAGACCTTCATTAAGGTATCTGTCGTTCGACTTAAATCACATGATATGAGGAAAGGTCAGCGTCTAGATTTTGGGCGCATTCATGATGTGTTAATAGAGTTCATTAAACAGAGCATATAAGAGCTTTTTCTTTTCATTATGTACCTCTCCTACACTCCAGTCAGCTTGTAATGAGTTGTGCATTTTTAGACGCACTAGACTCACTTTTTATGGTATGTTGCACGAGCAGCTTGCTTCTCCTTTTCTGTTTGTTTTTTGTTTTTCTCTCTCTCACTCTCTCTCTTTCTCACTCTCTCTTGCTCACTCTGTCTCAGCTGAGCTACGCAGTATTTTTCACCTTGAAAATATTGTGTTTAATTGACACCTTCTCTGCACGCGTCTCTCTTTTTGTCTTGTTTTTTTTTGTTTTGTTTTTTCTCTGCTGCAGAATCCCGTCCTGGATTTGAACTGTTTTTTTTTCAATGCTTCTTCTTCCCTGTAAAAGTACACAGTAAATATACATATATATATATATATATATATATATATATATATATATATATATATAGAAAGAAACTGAATAAAGGTAAATAGAATGTGGATAAATAAACTGAGAACATTTTTAAAGATATTGAAGCAGGTTGAAGCTTGTTAGGTTACAGTGAACCCAAAATACTTATTAACAAAGAGCACATACTTAACTACTTAAAAATAATAGTGTAACCAACAGATCCTAGTTCAAGGTTAATGCCTTTCTAAATCAGTGAAGGACAATATGGCCGTCTCTACGAAGTCAGATGACGCTAAATATTCCACACCAGGGTCTAAGACTCAACTGTAGCATGTAAAGGGTTAAAACCTCAGCGATGAAGCTAATTTAGGATTTGCCTCAAGGGTGCTCATTGAAATTTTAAAATCGGTCTTAAATTACAGCAGTAGCGCAGAGAAGCTAAAATGAAGCTGATATGACCACTTCTCTTAACTGCTGTCAGGAGTCTGGCTGTGGCATTTAGGATTAACTGTAATCTGGATACTCTGGGTAAAATAGGTGTGTGGTGAAACTCTCTCTCTCTCAGTCACTGACACATGCATCCTCTTTCTCTCACTTTGCTGTTACTCTCGCTGGCCCTCTAAATGGGCCTCTGAGCAGAGGTCTAGGGGGCGACACATGATTTAAACCTGTCAGCTCCGGCTTCAAGACTAATGACCAAACACAAACAATTGCTTATTTTCGCCTGCAAACTGCTCTGTGTTGCGTAAAGCGGGCTGTGGTCGATATCTTTATAATATGATGACAATATTAAAAGGAGTTATCATCTGAATCTGCCTGGACTGCCTTCCCAAATATATGACAAAAAAAACTTAACATGGTAAAAAACAAGAAGAAAGAAATAAAGTGGCCGGTAAATATGCATTATGCCTCTGTCAGCTGTAATGATAAGTTAAAAATAAATATTCTGCTTACTCTCACCCATCACTGCATGCCATTATGAATCCATATTGAATGTATTTAGGGTCATATTTCCTCAACACACGGTTTGGAATCTTTACTGGCTTCACTTCACTTTTTCATTTAAAAAAACGATGCTCTTAAAAATGCCATTAATGGTACAAATGTTCTCTCTTTGAATCACTAAAAGCAGAATGTGGGTTCAAAGCTAATAGGACACATAGGCATACTTTACATTTTGTCCCCTTTTTATGTTCATATTTGCAATTAAAGATATTTTATTGTTATTAGTGATCAGGGGCCTCTAAAGAGAGCGCTTCCCCGTCTCCACCACTTCACCTGTCCTGCCCGAGCATTCAACACTGCCATCTGGCACTTTCAAGTGAACCATTTATCCATCACATATCAGCACGCCCTGTCGTCAGAATGTCTGCCCCCCAAGTCTAAATCTTCCCGGCGGACCCCGCCTGTGGGACATGGAGCATGTCAGTACTTGAATTCTTCTCTTATGGCATCAGAGTGGATTACTGCCTCCGTGTGATGTGGGCACGACATCTAGCCGCAGAGCGTCTAGAGGTGAAGTGCAGGGTATCTGGAGTTGGCAGTCAGCTCGCTGTCACTGATGCTCATGGCTCTCTGCGGGCACAATATAAATGACACTGAGTAGCAGTTCGATTTATAATGTGCTCCATTGACACAAATGAATGGGATGGTCGCATGCAGGTGTTATTTTTCATTGTTAATCTCACATCTGTTATCTCTCTCTCTGTCTCTGAGTTCAGTTAATTAAGCTGTATTGACTTCATTGACATTTATATTGTTTTTAAATTGCGTTGCCAATATAGATGAATAGATTAAAGTGAATAATACATACAACGAATACATGAAAATGATGTACAGTATACTATATACAATGAACTAATAAATAATAACACTTATTAACACAAAAGTATGTCTTGCTTTATTAAAAGCAGGTTTATATTATTCCTCTGCCAGTTTTGCCATATTCCAGTTTCTCCAAAGAGAGTCTGAATAATCTCCTCTTTTGAAACTGGCAAATAGATGTTATCTTTCTGTCACTTTTAAGTGAAAATCCAATTTCATCATTATTTCAAGTGAATATATCTGTGTTTTCAAACTATTTAGAGAAAGAAAAAAGTGGATAAAGGATAAAAAACAATGTCTATGACATCAAATGGTTATATAAAAAAAAATATGATCAGGGGACAAAGAAATCCAGTTATAATGTGTTAGGTGTGGACCTAACACATTATATAGAGTAGATAATGTGTTACCGTTATATAATGCTAAACGGTATTCCCCCCCTCTCTCCTCTTTTACTCCCACTGTCTGTCATCTTCTCTGGTAGTCGGTGCTATCAGGGGGGGAAGCTTGTCCACCCACAGAAAAGTTGGGTTGCGCTTTTGAGCATGTGATTGGCAACCAGCATTTCTCTCTGCTGTATTGGTTTAGACAAGCCATCAAAATTACAACAAAAAAACAGTGAATATCTTTAACCAGGATTGAGGTTTTGTGGTTGTCATCATGTTACCTGCATTATGTCTGTTCATATGTCCTTTGTACTTCATTCTTTCTCTTATCGCCCCCCTCTCTCCCCTCCCTTTTCTTCTCAGAAGAATTGGTATTCAGATTAAAATCCCTCGCTCATCTGTTCTGGTGAAGTCGAGCAGTGTTTTGGGATTAAAAATGGGTCGCAACTAAATTGATCACAAATATCTCACTTTGACAGGCTTATTGGGTTTCTCTCCAGACTCCGCTGATGTACGAGCTCTAGTAGCAAGCTTTTGAGCTGAGAACCACAAATTCTTTTCCTTGCACTTGAAGTCTCTCTTTCTGTCTGTGGCTGTATTGGAGGGTTTAGCTGTCACAATTTTTTTAAGATGAAAAAATGAGGCTCCGGAGGCTTTTAGCCTAAGCTCATCATTTATTTCAGGCAAACGCTTGCAAAGCAAAGAAGGCAGTGACAAGTCGCGCAGATACTGGAAAGTCGCGCATCACAGCCCTGCCTGTTCGAAAGAGTAACTCCTAAGTACACCCATAAATGCTGCGCTGCATGTGTAAAACAAATTTGAGCAGCGAACTGTGTCGATAGTGCACTCCTGCGCTTTGCCTTTGTGGTGCCATATCTGTCCTTTTCTTCAACTGTATGACGTACATTATAGTATGTAGTATACATATGATCTGTTTTCTCTGTAACCACAGATGTTGCAAGAGAATAGATAGTTTAACCTCGGAGGACAATCAGAGCGCACAATGCTTAAGAAAAGCTCATTCAAACACCTAACGTTTTACAACACACGTGTTCTTATCTCGCTGAACAACCGATTGTTACCAACTGAAATGAAGTTTGTGGAACTGCTCGTGTTGGAAAGAAATCAAGGAATTTGACACAGGCTTGTGTTTCTTCTCCTGAACTTTAAGAGGCATTGTTAAAGTCTGTGTTCTTATGGCCTCGACCTCTCCATGTTTCTCCTTTATGTCCCTCTGTAACCCCTCTCTTGGCCTGCTGTCCTCTGTTACCTCTGGCTATGGCATACAATCTCCTCTTCTGTCAATTCTTGCCAGTGGTAAATCTTTTCAACTCAAGATGCCACCAACTTTTGGTCTCATGGCGAGGACAGGCCAGACATGCTTGCTGTAATCCCACAGCGACGTAACATAAACCCAGAGTTTGTGTACACATTTGTGTGTTTTTGTG